AAAGCGCTTCATAGAATATACTTGTGTATTTTGTGGGTGAAACGCAGCAGCCAATGGCTCACTACAGTGTCCCACAAACAGTCATAGAGTGAGTGACCAAAGTATTATTTTTTTGGGGGGAGGGATTATTACCCCCAGAAAGCGACTGTTGGTGGGACTCTGCTGTGCGCAATTGGCTGCTGCGTTTTGCTCACAGGATGTACAGTCGGTTCACTTAACAGTACATTCTGTGAAGTGCTTTAAGATGTCTCGAAGATGTGATATGTACGGCGCGATATCAAATGCAGGATTACCATTATAAATTATGTTTGCCTAGTGGAACAGAAGTGGGGATGTGATAGAGGTGTTTTTCAGAACTCTGCAGCTCGTGTACTGTCCCGCACCAGGCTTCGGGACCACATCACTCCCACCCTCGCTCACCTCCACTGGCTCCCCATCCCCCAGAGGATTGATTTCAAGATCCTCATCCTCACCTACAAGGCCATTCACGGCCTCGCTCCCTCCTACCTCTCCAACCTACTATCCCCCTACCTACCTGCCCGTACCCTCCGTTCCTCTGGCTCCGGTCTGCTCCACGTCCCCCGCCCCAACCGCCCTACCATCGGTGGCCGGGCCTTCAGCCTCTCATCCCCGAGGCTCTGGAACTCTATCCCCCAGTGCCTTCGCCGCCTCCTCCCTTTCCTCCTTCAAGGCCGGTCTCAAAACCTTCCTCTTTGACCGAGCCTTCAGCTCCCCTCTCGACTCTCTTCGCCCTCCTCGCTCCCTCCCTTCCCTCCCCCTGACCATTTCCCCCCTCCTCGCTCCCTCCCTTCCCTCCCCTCACCCTGACCATTTCCCCCCTCCTCGCTCCCTCCCTTCCCTCCCCTCACCCTGACCATTTCCCCCCTGCTCGGGTCATGACCCAACTGTGCAGCGCCTTGGGACGTCCTCCTGACGTGAAAGGCGCTTTATAAATGGAATCTTGTTGTTGTTGTTGTTTTAAGATTTTTAAGGGCTGCAACAAAGCAAATGGGGAGCCTTTAATTGAGCCATCTCAGCATTGTTAGCAAAAGAATGGGGAGCAAAGCTGAAAGGGATATGCTGATTCAGAGGGTTCAATCAAAAGGTGTTCAATTATCAAGATGTGAAAGTTATCATCACAAGAGTCTTTTGAGACTTGATCGATGGAACCCTTCAGGAGGGAACTGCATAAAATCCCGAACAGGATAAATAAAAAGGTAAACAGAGAATGAGCAGGAAAGTGGGATTAATAAATGAAAACAATCTCGAAGAAAAGCCAACAGACAGACATCCTGGGTTCCTTCTGTGCTGAACATTTCAATTACTCAGAAGATTTTTTCTGCTGCTGATGAGTGACATTTTAAGTGACAGGTTTCTACAAAGTCTCAATTAGGTTTGCTGTAGGCTTAATAATAATCCTTGTGTTTGATACAGTGCCTTATTATGACTTTGAGATTCAAAACGCTTCACAGAATATACTGTCAAGTGAATTGACTATATTTTATGGACGAAACGCGGCAGCCAACTGCGCACAGTAGTGTCCCACAAACAGTCGTGGCTTGAGTGACCAAATTATTATTATTTTATTGAAGGGATTATTATCCCTGGAAAAGCGATCTGCTAATCGACTAACAACCAGGTTCCTACTTACTGCTAGGTAAACGGAGGCGTGTGGAGTAAGGAAACTTGCCTAAGGTTCACTTCACAGCTTGAGGTTTAGGTGCCTCTCAGTGCTGAATATTAAGCTGTCATGAATAGAGGAAGATATCCATCGGCTTGTATTCCGTACACAATGTTCTTTTGGAATTTGGGTAACAAAAGCCTTTTCAATTTCCTGTTAATATGTTGCAAATAGAAACTCAAGGTGTAAATTGCTCTTTTGGGGTTAGGGTTCAGTTTTACACTTCACTACAGTATTCAAGTGATCAGCTACTAATATTACTGATATTCTTTAATATCTGGAATACTCTGTCCCACTATTGCAAACAATAGGGTCAAATTTGCGACATCCACAATGCAGATTCAATCAGCTAAAACACCACTTCCCGTTTACGAACGTTCATTTGCAAACTAACCGTTTGCAAATCCACAAAAGAAATGCCGGCAAAGACTGCAAAACGGCCAGCAGTTTACTAGGCTTTACTGGTTTCAGACTTTGAGATGCACAAGTTGGCTTTCATACAAATCTCAGATTAATACTGGCCCCAATGAATCCAAACCCTCAATGTCTAGTCCTTCATAGTCTAACTCCTATGTCTTCTCCTCCAGCCCCATACTCTCACCAAGTGGCTGAGGGGACTTTAGGTGTATGTATGGCATCTTAATCTCCTGCTATTGCTCTCTTGCCATCTCATTCCTCCTGGCCCTGGCTCTCCACGATGCCTCATACCTCCTACCCAGCGATGGGAAGAGAGATGGAGTGGGAGGTTTGAGGCAGTGTGGCGAGCAAGAACAAAAAATAACAATAACATATTACATTTACACTGCGGCTTTCACATCAGGTGGACGTCCCAAGGCACTGGACAGTCAGGCATTTGCACCCGAGCTGGGGATTGGGATCAGGAGGGGTGGAGGGCAGGGAGGGTGACCGAAGGCATGGTGGAGGGTCTTGAGGGCGGCAAGGAAGGAGGCAAGGCGAAGTGGTTCCGAGATAGAGGTCCAAAGGGTGGGGACGGAGAGCTGAAGGCCCGACCACCGATGGTGGGGGTGGGCCAGGCGGGGGACGTGCCTGCTGATTGGAGGGAGTGGACGAGTTGATATGGACACAGCAGGTCACAGAGTTTGGGAGGAGCAAGGCCTCGGAGGGCTTTGAAAGCAAGGATGAAGATTTTGAACTCTAAGCAATGAGAGCACGGTACCACTAATGGTCAATCAATGGCCAATCACACCCCCCTCACTCTCCCCAACCACTCCTCCTCACCCCTCACTCCCACCCCTTGATTCAATGCGATTCCCGCGAGTCAATGAATTCCAACGCTGGCCGGTTAGTGCCCATGCTGTGACGGGTCAAGACGCATTGAATCGCGGTAAAAGCAGTCTTGACCCGTCACCCCCTATGCATTTACTGGCTGCAGTGAATTACGCATATGCAGTGTATATTATTGATTAAAGCGGATTTTATAGGATTAATACAGTTTTCCTGTAACTTGGATCTTGTGTAAGTCATATTGAATGTTATGGTCTTCACTGTTACGACTTAAGTGAGTTTTACTGAAAAAGTGAACATTTTGTTCTGTGTGCATATATTTCTGGGGGAGCAGGAAGGCAAGCGAAGATTCTCTGGCTCTAATGGCATTGACTCTTCTACTCGTCCAGGTCCTGCCGATGAGCCGGGCTGGACTGTGCTGTCATCAGCAGTGCCCTGGAATATTGCGGACCCACCTGGCTCAGGAACTGGAGATTGGGCTTGATTCTGACACTCTGATGGCAAACACGTCACCTTAGAGCCAGTTCAGCTCCACGGAGACCCCGCTTACCTTCCCCTCCACCACACCAGGAGGACATCCTGAGAGGAGGCCCTCCTCTCAAAAGTTCTAGAACGCGTCGTTGCCAACCAACTCCGCACACACCTCTCCTCCCACTCCCTCTTCGAACCCCTCCAGTCCGGCTTCCGCTCTGCCCACACTACAGAGACTGCGCTTGTGAAAGTCACAAACGACATCTGTGACCAGGGCTCCCTCTGCCTCCTTGTCTTCCTGGACCTCTCCGCCACTTTCAACACAGTCGATCACGTCATCCTCCTCCACCGCCTTTCCTCCATTTCTCAGTGGGACCGCACTCGTCTGGTTAGAGTCCTACCTCACGAACCTCCAGCAGTACATCTGCACAAACGGCTTCTCCTCCCGCTCTCACCCGGTCACCTGCGGTGTACCCCAAGGATCCATCCTTGGCCCCCTCCTCTTTCTGATCTACATGCTCCCTCTTGGGGATGCCATCTGTAGACATGGGGTACATTTCCACATGTATGCAGATGACACCCAACTCTATTTTTCCACCTCTCTTTGTGATCCCCAGTCCCCTGATGTTCTGTCAGCTGCCTGTCAGATCTCAGGGGCTGGATGAGTGCAAACTTCCTTCAGCTGAACATTGACAAGACGGAAGCCATACTCTTTGGCTCTCGTCAACGTCTAAAATCTCACGGCTCTCACCTCCTCCACCTACCCGACCTCCCCATAAAACTCTCCGAACCCGTACACAACCTAGGCGTCAGGTTCGACCCCCAATTATCCTTCCTCCCCCCACATCCGGTCCCTCACCAGCACCGCTTTCTACCACCTCTGAACATCGATGGCCCATCTCCGCCAATACCTCTCCCCAAAAGCCGCTGAAACCCTGATCCATGCCTTTGTCACCTCTCGACTGGACTACTCCAACGCCCTCCTCGTCAGTCTCCCATCCACTACCATCCATAAAATCGCATTCTTACCCGCATGAAACTCCGCTCCCCCATCACCCCAGTCCTTGCCAGACTGCACTGGCTCCCTATCCCAGAGAGGATCGATTTCAAGATCCTCACCCTTGTATTCAAGTCCCTGCACTCCTCTGCACCCTCCTACCTCTCTGACCTCCTTTCTCCTCAAAACAGTACCCGTTGCCTTCGTTCCTCTGTGTCTGGCCTCCTCCTCGTCCCCCGAATCCTCCGCTCCACCCTCGGCGGCCGTGCCTTCAGCCACTACGCCCCGAGGCTCTGAAACTGCCTTCCTCACTCCCTTTCGCTCCCTCCCTTCCCATTTCAGGTCTTTGCTGAAGACCTTTCTTTTTGACGCGCCTTTGGTCACCTTCCTCAACCTCCCCCGGCTCGGTCCCGGGATCCGTTACTGTAAAGCGCTCTGAGACGCAGTCCGGAGTGGAGGGCGCTATATAAATCCAAGTTGTTGTTGTTGATATTATAATAAAAAATGAAAGCTTCATCTATTTTGCTGTGATTTACAGGTGCTTTCACACTCTACGTGGCCAATGGTTGTATCATAACTGCTTTACAGTCATTAAAATGTACATACGGTAACTGGCTCCTGTCCTCTGCCCTTTGTGAGCTCAGCTTCATGCGGAGTCACACAAACCACAAAACGATCAGGAAACACACGGAGATCTGAAAAGAACAGAGATTTCACACTTTCACACTCCACTAACACAGGAGAAACACAGAACAATAACTTGCACTTACACAGCGCCTTTCGCAGCGTGAGAGGAGCGCTTAACAGTGGCGGAGCCCAGGGAGAGAGGCAGGTGGGAGGTGAACGTAAGCACGATCAAAAAAGAAAGTCTTTAGGTGGGACTTAAAGGTGGGAGGGAGGGGGCAAGGCGGAGGGATTGAGGGAGAGAGTTCCGGAGTTTCTGGTATAGTGGCTGAAGGCACGGCCACTGATGGTGAAACGGAGGGGACGAGGGACAAACAGGAGGCCGGAGCCAGCTGATCGGGTAGGTAGGGAGGTGCATGGACATTTGAAAATGAATGAGAGGATCTTGAAATCAAAATCTACTAAGCTACAGGATTCCATGACAACAAGAACAAAATTACATTTGTATATCGCCTTTCACGTCGAGAGGACGTCCCAACAAGACATGATAAGGTGCTGCATCAGATGCAAAAGGATTATTATTATTATTATTAGGAACTTTCACTTCCAAAGTGATTGTCTTTTGTGTCTTTAATCTTATGGTGATTTACAACAGCATTCTCTGCACAGAGTTTTTGAACTAACCATGGCTGCTGTTTCCAGGAGTTACTGGAGCCGTATATAATTTAGTTTGATTTGCTTATAAGACTGCATTCTAGTCAGTTTGACTTATATAATAATAATAATAATAATCTTTGCATTTGATATAGTGCCTTATTTGGACATTTTTTTTGCTTCCCTCCCAATTCTATTCTGAGCAGGCCCGTACTCAGTCCATGTATTGTTTTGTTAGTGAGTACCAGTGTGTGTGGTTTGTCAGTGCACAAACAACAACAACAAGATTTCATTTATAGAGCGCCTTTCATGTCGGGAGGACGTCCCAAGGCGCTTGACAGTTGGGTCAGGACCCGAGCAGTGGGGAAATTGTCAGGGTGAGGAAAGGGAGGGAGCGAGGAAGGGGTAGAGAGTCGAGAGGGGAGCTGAAGGCTCGGTCAAAGAGAAAGGTCTTGAGACCGGCCTTGAAGGAGGAAAGGGAGGAAGCGGTGAAGGCACTGGGGGATGGAGTTCCAGAGCCTCGGGGCTGAGAGGCTGAAGGCCCGACCACCGATAGTAGGGTGGTTGGGGCGGGGGATGTGGAGCAGACCGGAGCCAGAGGAAAGGAGGGTACGGGCAGGTAAATAGGGGGATAGTAGGTCGGAGAAGTAGGAGGGAGCAAAGCCGTGAATGGTCTTGTAGGTGAGGATGAGGATCTTGAATTCGGATATGAGGGAGAAAGGACAGCTCAGGGTCGAACAGAACCCCGAGGTTCCTGACCGGCTTTGAGAGGTGGAGAGTGCAGCCTTGGATGCTGATGCTGTCAGCGCCTGAGGTGCGGAGGCGCTGACGTGAGCCAATCAGGAGGGCCTCGGTTTTTCGCACGTTGAGCTGAAGAAAGTTGTCTCTCGTCCAGGACTCGATGTCGGACAGGCAGACTGTCAGGACATCGGTGGTCGTGGAGTTGAGGGTAGAGGAGGAAAGGTAGAGTTGGGTGTCATCCGCATACATGTGGAAGTTAACCCCATGTCTGCGGATGATGTCACCGAGGGGGAGCATATAGAGGGTGAAGAGGAGGGGACCGAGGACAAAAACCCTCCATAGATCGAAAGCGCAGACCAGAGATCAAAATTAGCAACTACACAGCTCACCTACTCTAACAAAACCATCGAGCCTTTAAGGTTATCTTTTAAATGCATCCACTGTTTAGACTAATCACTGAGGGCAGGGAATCCTCCCACTCATCTCTTGTTAACCCTGGCAAGCCAAAGCCCTAATGGGTTGGGTAGTCCTAGCTGGACAAGCAGCAGGAAAACTTAGACTGACAATGCTATCAATGGCAAGCTATGTGGTTTTAGCTGGTTAGACTCCAGTAGTTACCCCAACGCACACTCTGGAGTCCCCAAGTCTTGGCTCTTGCCAACCTGTGCCTAATCGTCTCCAGAATTAGGTAATCAGGGAGAGAGTGCGCATTCTATTCCAACAATCTATCTGGGGAATTTCCATGTGTAGGTGGGATGCACGGAAATCTCAGCTTGGTTTGAATACTCTTAAGCGCAGTGATGGGTTTCTGCATGTCGGGACCATAATGTGTACATACCGCGGTACTGCTGTTGCGTAATGCACCTCAGGATTGTGTGTCTCTTCAAAAAGTAGGCGGCAAGACGAAAACGTTGTCCTGAAATGAAACCAGCAAAACAAATGCATTTCAGAATGTGTTTGATGCACAAAGGTATTGGATGCGAGCCAGGCTGACATGGCAATGCAGTGCTGGGGGAGAGTTGCATTTCCATAGGTTAATATTATTAAGGATTGTTATCAGAGGTGTTTTTCTTTGAATGTAACCTTAAACTCAGGTCTGTGCTTGTTCAGGCAGATAATGAAGAAACCTCTGGCGCTATCGGAAAAGAGAAGCGAGTTTCTCTCTCCTGGTGTCATAGAATCATAGAATGTTACAGCACAGAAGGACGTCATTCGGCCCATCGTGCCTGTGTTGGCTCTTTGGAAGAGCTGCCCAATCAGTCCCACTCCCCCGCACTTTCCCATAACCTTCCAAATTTTTCCTTTTCAACTACCTCTCCAATTCCCTTTTGAAAGTTGTTATTGAATCTGTTTCCACCTCCCTTTCACGCAGTGCTTTCCAATAGGTTCCCAAAGAAAACTAGTCCCTCACTCCATGGCTGTTTGTGGGACAATGTCCTTGCAAATTGTCTGCCGTTTCGCCCACAAATACACAGTCACTGCACTTTGCAGCAAATAAGCGCTTTGGGATGTTTTGACAACATGTTATGCGTTATGTGTATATCAAATACAAGATTATTATTGACGATTATATCCATTTGATATCTCGGGGATCTGACTGACACTATTTGGAAACAGGACTTGTTCTATTCCTTGGAGTTTTGTGCAAATCATTTGGCAGGATTAAAGAAAGTTGTCAAAGTCAGAAAAAATACTTTGAACAAATTATCGGCTTATATATCAGCAAATTATAGGGAGGTTCAAAAATTTATATTTTTAAACTGAAAATCATACTTCCCACGGCCTAAACTGCTAATTAAACTCCCTTACCCTCTCCCCTCACTCTTCATTTACTTATAAAACGCCTTTGGATAAGGCGTTTAAACCGAGGTCCTGTCTGCCTGTTCAGGTTGTAAAAGATCCCATGGTATTCTTTGAAAATAGAAGGAAGTTTTACTCGAGGTCCTGGCCAACAATCCCCCCAAATCACTCGCTCATTCCCTTGCTATTTTTGGGACATTGCTGTGTGCAACTGGCTGCCACATTTCGCCCACAAAATACACAGTCAATCCACTTTACTGTATATCTTGTGAAGCACTTTCGGATGTCTCAACGATGTGATAAGGCTCTACATCAAAGGCAGGGATGATTATTATTATTATTATAAACTCAACTGCAGTGTTTCTGAATTGTCAGTGTGATTAATACTCTTTACCCCACAGGAAGAATAACATGCGTTTCGCCCATAGATATACAGTCACTTCAATTTACAGCATATTGTGAAGCGCTTTGAGACATCTAGAAGACGTGAATAGCTCTATATCAAATGCAAGGATTATTATTATTATGCGTAAAACAATGGCTCAAAACATGAGAGAATGGAGAAGAGACTAAAGGCAGCGCCAAAACTATCTTAGGGGGTTTTGAAGTCAGAGAGAGAGTTAACAAGGCAAGGCTGAAGACTTGGCCTCTAGTGGGAATACAAGAAGAGTGAAAAGAGAGCTCGGGAGATCTTGTTTCACTCAGAGTTATTAGGATGTGGAATCCCCGGCCAAAGTAAGGTGGAGGCAGAATACATTGTGGGTTTCAAGAGGGAAGTAGACAAGAGTATATGAAGGTTAGAGGCTTGAAGGAGTGTAGGGATAAGGCAGGGCAGTGGGATTAAATGGACATCTTGTTCTGAGAGCTCCACCGGGGAATCGTAGACATGTACAGCACAGCAGGACGCCATTCTGCCCATCAGAACGAGTGGTGAGCAAGCAAGAGTTTGGAATCAGAATATCGGGATGGTTATAGAGCTGGAGAGATTTCACGTTCGCCCACAAATATACAGTCAATTCACTTTACAGTGTGTTCTGTGAAGCGCTTTGGGACGTCCTCCTGACGTGAAAAGCGCTATATCAAATGCAAGGATTATTATTATTATTATTATTTACAGTATATTCTGTGAAGCGCTTTGAGACATCTCGAAGTCGTGAAAAGGTGCTATATCAAATACCAGGATTATTATTATTAAATTCGGTCAAGCATCGGTCTGCCTCAATCGGTAGCACTTTTGCGTCTGAGTCACAAGTTTGGGAGTTCAAGCCCCATAAAGTCTACGCTGATATTCCAACAGAAACAATTTACAAGAACAGATTCCAGTGCAGTGCTGAGGATATGCTGTATTATTGGAGGTGCCATCTTCAGAGGAGACATTAACAAAGATCCCATCTGTTCCTATTCAGGTGGTGGTTAAAGATCCCATGAAAAGAGAAGAGTTTATCCTAATGTCCTGGCCAACAATCCTCCCAGACAAAATTGGTCACTCACTCCATGGCTATTTGTGGGACATTGTTGTGCACAAACTGTCTGCCGAATTTACCCACAAAATACAGTTATTTCACTTTACAGTATATCCTGTGAAGCACTTTCAGATGTTTCAGCGATATATCAAATGCAAGGATTATTATAATTATTATTGTCGGAGGAAGGCAGTGGAGCTTGACACGGGTGGGGTGATGGGTGAGCAACACCTCTAAGCTCTGGAGGGCAGCCAAAGCCACAGTCATTTTTCCCCTCTCTCAACCATTTAAACTTCCTCTCCCTACTGTTCCAAATTGGCGATAGTCCTGGGAACAAGAGACCTTTTCAGAAACAGCACGGAGCCAGTCCTGTAGTTTAGTGGTTAGACCACTTGCCTCGCAAACGAGAGGACCCGGGTTTGATTCCTGGGGAGGGCAAAACGTTAGGCAAGTTTCCTTATTCCACACGCCTTCTGTTTATTTAGCAGTAACTAGGAACCCGGTTGTTAGTCGATTAGCAGATTGATTTCCAGAGTGAATAATCCCTTAAAAAAAATGTGGTCACTCAATCCATGACTGTTTGTGGGACATTGCTATACGCAATTGGCTGCTGCGTTTTGCCCACAAAATATACAGTCGATTCATTTTACAGTATATTCTGTGAAGCGCTTTGAGACGTCTCGAAGACGTGATAAGGCGCTATATCAAATGCAAGTATTATTTTTATTATTAAACAAGGACTTGTGAACCCTGACAGTTGGCCTGGCTCCTTGCACATTTGTTTGAAGGGTGAAGAGAAAAACCCTTAAAGGTGTGTGTAATTACACCTAATCCCTTGCTGGCCAGAAGGGAAATTAAATGAAGAAAAGTTAGCTAAATATCCACCATTTCTGCCGTGAAATCTCATTTACTGACTTAATAAATACCACACTGCCTACATAAATACCACACTGCCTCCTTCAGCAGTGAGGACAGCCAAAACTGGGCTCAGAATCCTCCACCTGCTGCTTTGGTGAAAACAAGCAGAAGACAGACCAACAGCAATAATAATAACAGTAATTCTTGCATTTGATATAGCGACTTATCACGTTGCTGAGATGTCTCAAACCGTTTCACAGAATATACTGTAAAGTGTGCATTTTGTGGACAGAACATGGGAGACAATTGCACACAGCAGTGTCCCACAAACAGTCAGTCGTGGATTAACTGACCAAATTTTTAGTTTTTTGGAGGGATTATTTCCCTCGGAAAGCAATCTGCCAATCGACTAACAACAGGGTTTACCTAGCAGTAAATAGGAACCCTGTTATTAGTCAATTGGCAGATTGCTTTCCGGGGGAAAAGAAATGTGGAAAAGATTAAATGGACATTATATCCACTTTACAGTATACCCTGTGAAGCGCTTTGTGATGTCTCAACGAGGTGATAAGGCGCTGTATGAAATTCAAGGATTATCATTGTTATAAATTTAGCAAATGATGGAATAAGTAAATATTGGTTTAGAAAACGCTTTAAATTAGTTATATAAATGATAAATATAACCCAATAGATTTTTTGTTAAGTTACTGTATTTTCTCAAATATACTCACTCAAAAAATTAAAATGTTAAACTGTCTTCCATGAAACCACATAGTACATTTAATGTACATTTTTAATAATAATTCTATATTTTGTGGGCGAAATATAGCAGCCAATTAATCTTGACACTTTATACGGCGCATTTCACATCAGGATGACATCTCACCGCGTTTTTCTGTCAGGTGTAGCGACTGTGTATTTTGTAAGCAAAATACTTTAAAAACGACTGCACAATTAACTGAAGGGGACAAATTTCGCTGATGTGGTGCATTTCGGCAATTCACGGACGAACTGGGCTCAAGGAATCAGGAATGAGCTGTGCCCCACAGAACTATAACTGGTCAGGATCATTCTAGCCTCTTATCTGAAAGATTATGTTTTGCAGCACTTGGCAGCAGAGAAGCCATAAAAATTGGGCAATTGGAAGGACTGGAGGAAAGAAAAATAAACTGCAGAATACCTGCTGTGGCCCTGAGTTCAGTCTTTTTCACTTCCCATGAACAAGTACTCGATACGGCGACAGACCCAGCAATGACCTCTCCAGTCCAAAGCTTATTATGGGAGCTAATCACTAACACTGATTCCAACCAGAGAATAAAGCTTAATATGGCAGCTACACCACGGCAATAAATTACATTTACATAGCACCTTTCACGTCGGGAGGACGTTCCAAGGTGTTGGACAGTCAGGGAATTGGACCCGAGTTGGGGGTTGGGATCAGGGTGGGTGGGGGGCAGGTGGGGGAAGGATGGTGAACGAGGGTGCGATCGAAGAGGAAGGTCTTGAAGGAGTCAAAGGAGTGTGGGGGGGGGCGAGGGGAAGGGACTGTGGGATGGCGTTCCAAAGTGTTGGGCCAGAGAGGCTGAAGGCCCAGCCACTGATGGTCGGGTGGGTCGGGCGGGAGCGTGGAGCAGGTCGGAGCCTGAGGGAGCGGACAGGTCGATATGGGGGGTCAGCAGGTCACAGAGGGAGGAAGGAGCAAGGGCGTGGAGGGTCATGGAGCCTGGTGCGGGGAAGAACACGAGCTGCAGATAACAATGCAATAACAATCATCCCAATAAGAGAGTACAACAAC